TCTCTGGAAATCTCCCTAGTGCCAGATCTCTCCTCAGACCTATAATGGCTCCCTCTGATATGGTATCTCTCATCCTGTTCTCCTCTATTCTTCCCCCCATTCAACATTTCTGCTCTTCTATTTCCTCCTCTCCCCTCCTCTTCTACTCTTCTCATTCCGCCAGCTCCCTCTCCCCTACCCTCATGCTCCCAGTTAGGTCAGGAGATCCTGTCTCTTCCCATTCTCTGGGGTCCATGCATTTTTCTCTTAGAGTCCTTCTTGTTTCTTAGTTTCTTTGGTGAAGAGGATTGTAGGCTGGTAATCCTTTGCTCTATGTCTAAAATTCATATATGGGTGAGTACATACCATGTTTGTCTTTTTGTGACAGGGTTACCTCACTCAGGATGGTAAGGACTTATATCTTTATTATATTGTTGAAAACAGAAGTGAGGAAATTAATACCAAGTGGTGGGTAAATACTAAAACAAACAAATTTTATAGCCATGAAGGTTGGGGTGTCTTATGCTCTGGCTACAGTTGCTAGAATGGAGTCTTTGCTAATTGTTCTGAAAAACCATTGAGTGACTCCAATCTTGTTTTCCATAAGTTGCTCACCATATTAAAGGTCGTGCAAAGACTTATGGCTGCATTTAGTGCAGTAGGAAAGGAAATAATCTCACATTTCCTTCATCTTCCTTTCAGTTCACCCTCATCACCAGCTTCTAGAAAGTCCCAGTGGAAAATTCTAGATGCAGATGATGAGGCTACAGGCAAGAGCAAACCCGGAGCCCAGGAGGGAATACAAGTTCTTGGAAGCTTGTCAGCATCCAGCAGGGCTAGAACCAAAGGAAAAGATGAAGACTCTGATAAAATCCTACGTCAGTTATTGGGGAAAGAAATCTCAGAGAATGTCTGCAACCAGGAAAAGCTGTCATTGGAATTCCAGGATGCTCAGGCATCCTCTAGGAATTCGAAAAAGATACCTCTAGAGAAGAGGGAGCTGAAGCTAGCCAGGCTGAGGCAGCTGATGCAGCGATCATTGAGCGAGTCTGATACAGACTCAAACAATTCTGAAGACCCCAAAAATACTCCTGTGAGAAGAGCAGACAGACCCAGGCCACAGCCCATTGTGGAGAGTGTGGAGAATATGGACAGCACGGAAAGCTTACACCTGATGATAAAGAAACACTCCCTGGCATCAGGACGCAGGTTTCCTTTCAGTACGAAGGCCTCCAAATCCTTGGATGGGCACAGCCCATCTCCTACTTCAGAGAGCAGTGAACCAGACTTGGACTCCCATTGTCCAGGTTTGGGGATGACTTCTCCAACTCAGCCTTCTGCAGACCCCAGTCAGTCCAGTCCTGACAGCTCCACTGCCCAGAAAGTTGCCACAAGCCCCAAGAGTGCCCTCAAGTCTCCATCATCCAAGCGCCGGACATCCCAAAACTCAAAACTCAGAGTTACCTTTGAGGAGCCTGTTGTGCAAGTGGAGCAAACTAGCCTTGAACTAAATGGAGAAAAAGACAAAGATAGAGTCAGGGCCCCCCAGAGGACTAGTGAATCAGGGGAACAAATGAAAAGGCCTTTTGGAACCTTCCGATCCATCATGGAAACTTTAAGTGGTAATCAAAACAACAATAATAACTACCAGCCAGCCAACCAGCTGAAGACCTGCACACTGCCCTTAACATCACTTGGAAGGAAGACAGCAGATACCAAGGGAAACCCTGTGAGCCCTGGTAGCAAAGGGAAGAATAAGGCAGTGAGTGCTATTTGGAGACTGTTTATATGACGTTTCATTGATGGTGTTATTGTTGAAGCCCAAATTACTGACTTGTGCCACCTTGAGAGGGTCACCCCAAAATTCATAAATCCATACATTTTGTAATGAAATATGCCAGGTTAAGATATATACCCTTGCACTTACTTTAAAGAATGCAGAGAGAAGTGGGTTTAAAAAAATCACAGATTAGGTCTGATCCCTTTTTCTCATGCTTTTGGTTTTAAGGGTTGTAAGCTAGGAGGCGTTTATACAAGATGAAACCACCAGTCAGCATAAAATAAGTCCTTTGTTGGCACTGATTCTGCCTTAAGAAGAGTTTGTTCTCGTGGACTGGGTACTCCCAAGCCCAACTTAAAGGCATACAAACAGGAACCCAGTTTCTAAACTACTCAACTCAAATGACCTTTGAAACAAACCAACGCCCCCCCCCACCCAGAATGCCACATGGCATGATACTACACAGACCTCTAGGTGTAGATTAGATACTGGAGAGACTGGAGTGCTTGCCAGTATATAGGAGATGGTAGGATGCACTGTGAAGTCATTTATAACAGCATTTCTTGGAAACCCATCTGTAATTCACATCTCACAAAGAAGAAATAGGAACATCTTTTTAGGCAATGATTTCTGCATGCTCTGTGATTGTCAAGCCACCAAAAACAGTATAGCAGCCAAAATGCAGAAACTCCCTGTCGAAGGAATGCCTGGGATCATTCATTGTTGCATTTACTAAACCGCCCAGTAGTGTCAAAAGCTTATCATTTTCCTTCATTAGGTTGTTAAATCCTATTGCAACAGTCTTAAGAATGGTCTGTATTTCTTACTGTGATACCAAACCCAGTTTTAGTTAATATCTCCTCAACTGCCTCATCACTGACTTTTAAATTATCTACCAACTCCATTGCTATGAAAGACCTTACCATGTCTAGAAAGGGCACACTCCAGCTATGACACCGGGCTTTTTGTATTAAAAACTTAAAGCCTATTTTTTTCTAAATAACTTAATAGAGTCTCAGGGTTGGCAATAACATTAAAATCATTTCCACAGTTTCCTAAGAACATTCCCCGTAATGTGTCTTGCATGCTTTGCATTAACCAGAACCTGTGCATGGGCTGAGCTTGTTGCATGTCTTCAGATAATTCTTCATTGCACTTCTCGCTGTATCTATCTTCCCTCTAATGTGCTGGTTGAGGAGCATCTGCGTGACTATGCACGGTATGTGGCATGGGGTGCACTGTGAGGCACTGCCATGCCTTTGCTTGGAGTTGCATGAGCTTTCAAATGATGAATCTATAACACTTTTAAGCAGGGGATAAACACCAAGGGGGAAGAAACTCACAACTCTCTCCCCACCAAAGAGATATGGGATGGGTTTGGGTGACAACTAGGTCCTGCGAAGGTAGCTGGTAGCCATTGAAGGGGCTTTTCACTAGTGTCAGTCAGGAGAATCTACTCTATGCATGAACTCACTGTGTTTCTCATTTCACTTTGGACTTTCAGTGTTCATTTTAAGGGAGCATGATGCCAAGTATGGAAATTAGGTTCAGTCATGGGTAGAAGGGATCAGCTGCCCGTCAGAAATTAGAAGTTGGAGTGTGAGCAGGGGCTTCAGCCTTTCATCGTCACTCTCTTAATCTCAGGAGAAGCATGTCTCTGACTGTGCAGAAGCTCTCTCACTTAGCACAGAACCATTTCCAGTGCAGAAGCCATTCTGATGAAGGTCCACCAATAAATTAAGGGCCTTCCTTCAGCAAAATGTTCACAAGTGCAAATGCTTGGACTATGTATGTACAAGAAAGAGGAGCCTGTAGCCAGTGACTGGCACTCCTCCTTGGGCAAAATCCTTCTGAGGTGCAGCATGTTTGCAGACCTGGCAGGAAGTGGCTGGACTGACAGGGAAATAGCCTAAGTTAATGTGGCCAGTGCCTTTTGACTGGGTTATTTGAGAAGTGTTTAACTTCAAAACCCATTTTAAAAGCAAACTGTTGGTTTTAAAACATTTCAATAATTTAAAAATTATGACATGGTATTCAGCGCTCCTCCAGAATCCCCCAAAGAATGTGTTTACTATACATACAGATTTTAGTTCAAAATACAAAGTTTCCAGAAGATTTTTTTCCCTCTCTAGATCTAATTTAGTCTGCTTATGTCTATACCCAGTCTGGATGGAAAACAAGTATTAGCCGAGTTAGGGGATATCATCAGGGGTCTCATTAATTCAGTGTGTGGAAGGGACAACCTTAGACTCTAAATGGCCACTAGTGACCAGCCAACTACTAGCAGGTAGTCTAAATGCAGAGTCAGGACTGCTTCCAGTCATCCTGTGACAGAGGCCCCTGCTCAGTGCCACTGTTAGAGATGGGGAAAGCTCTTTGTCCTTCCGAACGTTGATACTATCCCACTTGTGTTCCTAGTTCTCCATTACACCCTCTCCTGTGTCTGTCTGGGGTTAGATATGTCTTCTTGGTGCCTGGAAAATTCTGCTTTTGTCCCTGAGACAAGGAAGCACAAAGACTTGGCTAACTCCCTGGGAGCAGAGAGGAAAATTCCTTTCATTTCTTCTAGGCTCCTAGAGCAACTGGGAACAAGATAATTAGTGTCGCAACAGACTCTTCCTGCCAGAAACATTTCACCCTGTCTTTTTACAAGGAAAGGAACAAAGCTGGGCATTTTAGTGTAATAGGATTACAAAACTACAGAGCACAAAATGAGGTTATGGGGCCACTCGGACGTCTGAGACATGTAGAGCACTTGCCTGCTGCACTTAAGGAACGGTCCTTCCAGAGACTCAGTCATTAAGCTAGCAGATTCACTGGCCTTGTGCAGTGACAAGGTTTGAATTCAATACCAATTACTTAGAAAACCCAAACAATATATATAGTCAGTGTATTAAATAAGCACCCAGGCTTTTTTTTTTCTCACTGCCCTATATCCTCATATATACTTTACTGTGGTTTTAGTTTAGCATGGGTTTCCATTGAAAAGAAGTCTAGTTTGATTGTTTTTCATATTGGAGAGAATGAATTCTTCCTAGTCTTTCTGCATCACATGCACACAGGTAGCACAAGCCTGGCCCCCTCCACACATGAACCAGGAATGTCACTCTACTAGAAATAAAGATCCCTCAGAGGAATTGAGGCTAAAATGAAATGTTTAAATTGACAATACATAATTAACTCTACCTGATGCCTGCAGCATTTACCTAAGTGCAATCACTGATCAGTGGTGACTTCAAATCTTGACCAAAGAACTTGATATAAGATCAAGTGGATACTTGAAATAGTGGAGGGATGCCTCGACTTTGGGTGGCGAGGTTGACAGCTCCCTGCTACCAAGCCTCTTTTTAGCAGATATGAGACAGTTGCCTCAGATCCAGGCCTCTGGAATCACAACCAAGTTTCTAAGCATTTTAGTTTCAACTTTTCTTAGTAAAAGAAAAGTAGGGAGTTGGGTAGTGGTGGCACATGCCTTTAATCCCAGCACTTGGGAGGGAGAGGCAGGTGGATCTCTGAGGCAAGCCTGATTTACAGAGCAAGTTTTAAGATAGCCAGGGCTACACAGAGAAACCATGTTTCAAAAAAGAAAGAGAAAGGAAGGAAGGAAGGAAGGAAGGAAGGAAGGAAGGAAAAATGAAAAAAGAAAGAATGAGAAGGAAAGAAAAAAGAACAGGAATAATGAATACATCATTTTAAAGACTGTTATTCAGCTCTATACGAGGCTTCTGATGGCTACTTATTTTTCTAAATTCATCTACAGTGAATAACAAAGAGGTTGGATTTCAATGGCCTTTGAAATCAGCCTCAGCCTTATTGCTTTGAACAGCCTCCTAGCTTGTCAACCCCAGATGACGACTTGGCTTATGGGGAGCAGATTCATCTTTCCTATTATCTTACAGAGGATAAGTTGACTTGGAGTTTTTACAACTCCAGGGGAATATTTGCAATCACTGACCTAAAAGGCCAATGAGGCATTCATTTGCCAGTTTGTGTGTGCCTGAGGTTGTTCCTGACCAATAACACCTTCTCTGACTACATAGCACTGTTTCCTGAAGGGTTAATACCCCAATCCTAGCACCAGCATCAGAGGACTCCTTAAAAAATACATGAAGCAGTCAAAACTCTTAGAATGCTATCTATTATAGCATGAATTAGCCACATTAAGAATTATATAACCAGAGCCAAGAGCTAAGGTCAAACATTTCGCATAGATTTCAAGGTGCCCAAATGGTGCTTTTGGACCCAGGACTGGGACTGATGTCCACTGTGTCACTCATCTGATGTTGCTCATAGAGGAGAAACTTCCTTGGAAACCAAAACCACCCCACCAGGATGCATTCTTTAGTAGGCTGACCCAACTTAATGACAGTCAGAAATCCTAAGACAAAAGCTCTTTCTTCATCTTCTCTCTGTTTTTCCCATGACTGAAGGTTCCAGTTGTTAATTAAGACGAAAGAAGAGATGTGTCTTCCAGTATCATGTCCGTACCATAAGTCTGCTATTACCAGGACATCTTTGTATATTATGAGAACAGTCCTACTCATAACCTCTCTGAAGGCTAAATTTTAGACATGAATAGGTTGATTCAAGTCAGCACAGATAAACTTTGTCTGGGCCACATCTTCTCAAATACATCGCATCCCAACAGACTGACCCAAATTTTCCCTCCATCCACTCCTCCTAGCCCCTCCCCCGACATCCCCTCCTCCCAGATCCACTTCTCTGTTTTCATTCAGAAAAGAGCAGGCCTCCCAGGGATATGCACCAAATGTGGCATAACAAGTTACAACAAGACTAGGCACAAACCCTCGTGTCAAGGCTGGACAAAGCAATCCAGTAAAAGGAATTTTAAAATTTCTTTTCAAGACAGGTTTCTCTGTGTAGCCCTGGCTGCCCTGGAACTTGTTTGCAGCGCAGGCTAGCCTAGGACTCAGAGATCCACCTGCCTCTGACTCCTAAGTTCTGGGATTAAAGGCGTGTGCCACCACTCATAGCTGACGAAGCCATGCCTTTCTTTTCAACATCTTTATCAATAAGGCACATATTTGGGGGAACAGGGGAAATAGCTCCATCGGCTAAGTACTTGCTGTGTAGACATGAATACTTAAACCTAGAATACACATAAAAATGGCAGTCATAGTGGTGGGCTTGTACTCCCAGTGCTGAGTCAACAGATAGGCAGACTCAACTTGTTCCATAGCTGACCAGACAACCAAAACCAGTGAAACCCAAACCAGCAAGAGACCTCAAGCTCAGGACAGTGGTTAAGACATCTCTTGAGGAACAGCACTTGAGGCTATCTACTGGCCTCCACACACATGTGTACATATGTGTGTGCATAACTACACTCACAGTTATACTTATGTGAACATGTACCCACACATGCACTCCCATACACAAAAGACACATTTCCCCCAAAGCAAGGCATGGCCTCTGAACTCAGGCAGGGTCAGAATAAAGACTAATACCAGAGCTCATGAGAGCAGTGACCCTTGAGAGAACACTTGTGCTCATAGTGTCTAGTACAGTGTCTGGCATATGGAAGAGGCTTCATAAATAAATATTTGGAAAGAAAAGGAGCCTAACAGAGGAAAAGTAGGAAGAAAGAGGAAAAGAAAGCAGAACAAAATCTTGACTCTATTATCCTATGGGGAAGGGATGTTATTTTGCTCTATGAATACATTTGGATCCTATATACAACCCTTCTGCAGTAAGCTTCAATTTGAGTATTAAACTATACATTTAATTTTGAACCACAATGCCACCTTCCAATAGATAAACTGTATCAATAGGCTACAAGTAAAACTGTAAGAGAAAGCACACTTAGTAAGCTCTTCCTTTGGTTAGCAGGGGAAATATGTGGCAGGCTGCAGGCCATGGCACACTGATCCCAGCGCTGTGATCCCATAAGTTTCTGTGGGATCGCCACGTGCTGTGGAAATACAGTGTGTGCCCAGATGATTCAGCACCCTGGAACATTTGAAAACCAGTTATTTAAATATAAAGCTCTCCTCCATTTTAATTGTGGTCACTCAGAATGTGATTTCATAGCCAAGAATGAAATCAAGGCACAACAATTATCTGAATGATTTGTGCCAGAATTGCCCACTTTTGTTCTTTTGAATTCTGGCAATTGAAGATTGAATAATTGAAGGATTCAGGGAAGACTGGATTATTATCATATTAAATGTCTCAAATCAGCAGTTTACTTGGTTTGGACTTGGCTTTCTCAAATCAAACTAGGTTTTTCCTGTGGAAAAACCCTCTTGAGGGTGTTCAAAGCAACAGCCCCTATCTCAAAGCAAAGATGCCCTTTCAAAGTGTGAACTATAGTATCGTTAACCTAGAAATAAACTTTTTAACTTACTTAATTGAATTTTCATCAAGATTATATAAATACATATGGATAATAATAACAAAAAATGGCTGTTCAATGGTCAGGCTTATATGGAGGAAGGGCTGAGGGCACCCCACCCTTTTTTTAAGGAACTATTTGCTGATAGTTGGCGGAGACGGAATCGCTATCTTCAGATGTGTACCTACTAACAGCTCCTGTTCAGTGGCTTCCTCCAATCTAATGTTCACACCAATGGTCCTACTCCAATTAAATGGGTCACAAAACAAGACCAAAGGACATGCATGTCAGAGAGGAACTGGTAGAGATGGGGGAGCACACTAGATAATTGAGGGAGAGAGTGATGAGAATGTACTATATACCGGTATAAAATTGTCCAAGAAGAAAATTAGGCAACTAAATTGCCTATCTCTTGAACTTCCCCATCCATCCACTATTCATATTCTTCTGAATCTACTGTGTCCTTTTCTCTCAAATTTTCTTCAGTATTCTGTATTTCTAACAGAATGTTCATAGAAATTTCAGTTTCCCTATCGTCTACTGGCATCCCACTATAAATGATAAAAATATGAATGCACTTAAAATAGACCAGCAAATCTTCCAGATGCTTTACACATCTCTGCTCTTTTAATCCTCACAATGATATATATGACAGATACTATTATTATCCACATTTTGCACATTGGAAAAAGATATAGATGATTATGCGTCTTGCCCAAGATTACACAGTAATGATGGTTATAAATTGTGGAGCCAAGATTTGAATTTGAACAGTCTGGCTCAAGAGTTCATACTAACAGTAAGTCCTATTTTAGCCTCTCCTTACCTCACCTCCCCTCTCTCCTTTTTATCTCTGAGGGTTGGTTAGTGAACCCAGGGCTATGTGCATTCTAGTCAAAAACTCTACCACTGAACTACGTCCCCGGCTGTCTTTCTTATAAACCCACAAGGGCTTAATCAGGAGGAACCCCCCAAGATTTCCTCCTCTACGTTCCATAGTTGCTTTTAAGTGTACACATATGAGCCCTTGAGCCACATGCTCCAACCATGTCCAAGCCATACCAGTAAGCAAGCAGCAAGTGTGGTTTTGAGGTCATAAAGCCGCACTCATAGGCTTGTCCTTCATCCAAGTGTTAGAACCATCACCAGAAGCATGTGATTGTATCTTGTGGACAGGCTTGCCCAGGAACAAAGGCTAGCTCCTCTCTGGAAGTTCTTAAACTGAATTCATTTAATACCTCATGAAGATGAATATATCTTATCCAAAGGAAAAACTCACTTACAAAAGAACATCTGTCCCTTTGTTTTGTCTTCCACAGACCTAGTAGAGAGTCTGAGTTTTCTATTTCCTGAATGTTCACCTATTCAATATGCCACTCAGAAATCATCCCTAAAAGCTTTCTATGGAATTCAAAGTGTCACCAATGATTCCCTGTAAGGAAACTATTAAAAAAAAAAAAAAACCCTCTTGCTTCCATTTAACCAGTAACACTATATATGCTATCATGTTTGTCTCTGATAAAATCCCTTTGACTACAGAGTGTCTGGACTCCAATCACTGTGGCTAAGCAATTGCTCTTGAAGCCAAATTCTAATGTGTTCAGTAAGTAAGCGTTTTTAACATGACGACTGCTTTCATTACATTTAAACAGCGGCTTATATGAAAAGCAAATAATGTGCCTTCTGGAATGGAGTGCTCTTTGGGATGGTTTGGGGATGGATAATTTCCATTTTTGGTGAGCTGTTTAGCAGCAGCATCTTGTAACTTGACCATAGTTTTATCTAATTTTGGCCTGTGGTTTCTCTTCTACTTAGGCGTAATGACATCAATCGAAACACGAAGAAAACCTACAGCAGAAAGCACATTGCTGAGCCAGAATCAAAGGAACTCTTCTTATAGATATCTCTTTTTATTAGTCCTATGCATGCCCTCTGGACACCATTGGGAGTTCCTGGAGATGATCCACTGTGGCAATAAGACCACAAAAACAGCACCTCACCAGCAGAGCAGGATATCTGGATGCCTTAAATTTATAACCTAAGACTTGTTATAAGATACACTTCGGACCCTATCAATATATAGAACTTGTTTGTTTTTTAAGATGTTACTTGAAAAACATGATTTGGCAATGTATGCATTGAAGCATTTGATGTTTGGTTGACTCAACCTTCTCAAAGCACATCCACCAGGCTCTGACACCTTTGGTGTTTTGTCAATTGCATGAGGATTTGCTAGTGTTGATTGATATTTCTTGATATTTCCTTCCTCTGTAACAAGGGCAGCTTTGGCTCAGCTCAGTGAGGCTAGGTCCCTGGTATTATTTTATGTCAAGAATGTTTTTCTGTCATTTCTACTTTTTTAATAAAGAAACTTAAATATTGTTAATAGTCACGTCTGAGCACAGGGCCTCAACTTCCTACTAAATCTGTGATGTCCTGATTTTTAAAAGGTTCTGGAAGTATTTTAATTGCTGACACTTAATATCAAGAACAAACTGGCCTGTTTATCTCATTTCCTGGAGTGGGGGGGGTCAAATAAAACATTCTATACTTCATTAAACACAGAAAGATCAGACAAGTATATACAGAGCAAGCCGTCCTTCTGCCTTCTTAAAACGCAGTGTTGACATGGGAAAACACTAATGACAACTAAAGATTTAATCCTTTCTTAAGTCACTTTTTTTTCTTTTTTTGAGTCACTTTTTTCTGCCTCCAACACATCGAGAGGCTTGTCTTATCCTTGTGGGAGAGAGTGTGGAGCCTAAGTTCATAACAGCTTTATTGTTGCCATAACCCTTTTAATGCCCATAAGCAATGACTTACAGGAAGGTTCATCTTATCGTGGAAAAAAATACGTTTCTGTTGAAACTACAAGAGTGTTATTTTCAAAGTGTTGACATGGACTATGAGACACTGTCAGGTTGTTGCTTAAGAACAGACTGTCTTCTTACCAGCAGGAGTAGCACAAATACTACAATAGTGACTTCTTTGAAATGTCCCTGCCATCTAATGTGTGTCACTGTGTGCCCTGTGCACAGAGCAGGCCAAATGTCTGAATCTGAAGATTAGGCTTGCAAATGTGGGCCAACTTGATTTAATGAGATACAATGACATATAGGAGTTAATATTTGAGTATCTTTTATGCACCAGCCACTATGTGGTGATATCACTGTTCCCATTTTATAGATTAGAAATACAACTTTGAAGAAATTTAAGTTCTGTGTCCAAAGTTTACACCACTAGTTAATAGCAGATGAGACACTGGAAAAAAAAAAGTGTTCATTATCCTTGCTGTACTATCCTTCAATCTTATGCTATGTTATCTTCCTGGGACAAAGCCATGGATGGCTCTTTGGTCTTAGACAAGCAACATTGCCTTTTTGGGAATTGGAAAATGATAAGAACAACCTACATACACAGCTCAAAAGAAGACTCCTGGCCAGGCAGTTGTAGCACATGCCTTTACTCCTAGCACTTGGGAGAAAGGCAGACAGATCTCTGTGAGTTAGAGGCCAGCCTGGTCTACAGAGTGAATTCCAGGACAGCTAAGGCTATATAGAGAAACTCCATCTCAAAAAAAACAAAAACAAAAACAAAAACAAAACAAAAAAAAACGAAGGAGAAGGAGATACTTGCAGCAGTCTACATTGCAACACATCTATAAGTTTCAGTGAATTCAATGTATCCTCTCTTGAGTCCTGCAATTGGCTGCTACTGCATAGCCTGGTGTCATTTCTCATGGTGCCTTGTATTCAAACAAGATGCCCTGTGTCTGGTTTGGAGACTTCACCACTTAGGCCCTATTTTCCTGGTTTGTACTATTGCTTGAGCTTCTAACAGAGAACATTAGATAAATGCATATGAAATGTGCCTCCTTGTTTCCTGTCTGATGCAGATGAGGCCACTGCAGCCACATAATGAAGTAACATGTGACAATTGACCCAAAATGTGGCCTGCAAGAATGGAGATCCAAAAAGTGTTCCCTCTGTCCACAAGAGGTCCCAATTTTTTTCTGAAACTGTTTTAAATGTGGAAGGTGAAGGGTCTAAGAATTTTGCAATACAGAGAACAATTAAACATAACAAAGAGGGGCTGGAGAGATGTCCCAGCAGTTAAGTATACTGACTGCTCTTACAGAGAACAAGGGTTCAGTTCCCAACAGCCACATAGTGGCTCATAACCATCTATAACTCCAGTCCAAGTGATCTGATGCCCTCTGCTGACCTCTGCAGGCACCAGGCATGCACATGGTGCACAGACATAAATGCAAGCAAAACAAAGAAAATGTCAAGAATTTGAGTGAATGAACTTCAACGGAGAAACCTCTGCGATCCAACTGTGTAAAAGTAACATTCAGATCCCAGGATAATGAGTATGGCAGAGCAACAGGAGGAGTAAATCAGGAAGGTTGAGCAGATTCTCATGAGCTGTCTTGAAACCCAACCATTCTCTAATTAATGGCATTTATGGTATTTAAAAATGCAGGCCCTTAGGCCGGGCATTGGTGATGCACACCTTTAATCCCAGCACGAGGCCAGCCTGGTCTCTAGAACGAGTGCCAGGATAGGCTCTAACGCTACACAGAGAAATTCTGTCTCGAAAAACAAAACAAAACAAAACAAAACAAAATTCTGGCCCTTGTCATACATGGACATTTCTTTACTGCCCCAATTCCTTAGGAAACTGATAAATTAGAGAGGAAAAAAATTAGCAAGACTTTTCTTCATCACAAAGTTTCGTGCAACATATACAAAATGAAAATGGAAAGCTTTTGTCTCTAGGAATTGAGACACGTGTGCATGTTAAAGAAAGAGAGCAGGAGCAAGCGTGGCTCCTTTTAGTCATAAAACCTTTGGGGCTCCTGCCACAACTTCTCCATCCCACTGGGCTAGTAAAATGAGCAAAGCTCTATCAACATGCCTAATGGCATGCAGCAGAGTAGGAAACTTGGCTCCACAGGGGGAAAATATATATATAATCACGGCATCTGTCAGCATCTTGTAAAGATTGGCTTTTTTTATGTCTCCAAAGGGACCCGTATTGCCAAAGTTCAACACATCAAATTAAGAATGTTTCTCCAAAACAATAATAGGACACTAAACTTTCACCACACTCAACAGATTGAATTCCTGTTGCTTAATCATGTTAAACGGTGTCAAGACCTCACTCCTAATGAGAACGTTCTAGGTGTTTATCAGGGGTTTGGTAGTAGGGATAAAACTCTTGAGGGTATCTTCAAATAAGATTTTGAGTGTGTGTGTGTGTGTGTGTGTGTGTGTGTGTGTGTGTGTGAGTGTGTGTGTGTGTGTGTGTGGTGTGTGTGTGTGTGTGTGTGTATGTGTGTATGTGTGTGTGTGTGTATGTGTTCCATCCCCACCCTCAAAGTTTAATAATTTCCCACTCAAAGCAAAAAGACAAGCCAGACATGGAGAAACATCCATGCCTGTAATCCCAGCATTCCAAAGTCAGAAGCTGGACAATCACAAGTTCAAGGCCACACAGTGAGATGCCATTTCAAAAAGCAAACACAAAAAGCAACTCTAACAAGAGGGTGATGCATAACAGAAAAAGATAATTATGCAAACGTGCTTAAACTCCTCAGAACCTCTTCGATACAAGTGGACTAAATGCTTATTCTTTCATGACTTCCTACGAGTTTATGTTACACTGATAAGGCTAAGTGAGCATAAGGAATTCATCTCAGCAGGCAGTACTGTTTCCCCATAAAATGAAGGTCATCCTGTCTCCTGCTTGTGACTCTCATCAGCAGATGGGCTGGGTTTGCTTTTATGGCTTTCATTATTAACCATTGCATAGTTTGGTGTGACTTCTTATGGAATTGATGACCATCTTCTATTGAACCAGTAAATGTATTAATCTTAACAAAATTTCCGCATCACCTTATAGATGTTGCATCTCCCTTTCCTCCTCATTGGGTTCCTCCTCTTCTGGCTCTTCCTTGCCCTCCTTGTCTCTCATTCTCCAACTTCTTTCCCTTCTTTATTCCTTCTCAACTCTGTTTAAGGTCATCTCCCACACTTTTTTGTTTCATTCTTCCATGTCATCTGTTCACAAGACCTTGAAACCCCTTATCTTAGTCTTGTTGCTGAGGTAAAGCCCCCTGATGAAGAGAACTTGAGGAAGAACACATTTATTTTGACTCACACACTGAAGCGAGTCAGGGAAATCAAGGCAGTAGGAGCTTGAAGGAGTTGGTTGTATTGTATGCAACCAGGAAGCAAACAGCAGTGAATGCTAGTGTTCTGCTAACTTTATGTATTCAGTCCAGGATCACAACCCAGGGAAATACATCTCCCACAGTAGACAAGTGGCCCTATACTAATTAACCAAATTGAGGTAATCCTTCATAGGTGATCCCAGAGGGTTTTATATTCTATCAAGTCAATAAAATGTGGTTAATCACAATAACCTAACACTTGCTAACTTTTTATTTAAATTAAAAGCAATCATTTTACATATCAATCCCATTTCCTCTCCCTCCCTTACTCCCATTTGCCCCACCATCTCCCCATCCCAATCCCATCCTCTCCTCAGAGAGGATGAGGCCTCCCATGGGAGATCATCAAAGTCTCCCACATCATTTGGGCAGGACCTAGGCCCTCCCTCTGTATCTAGGCTGAGAGAGTTTTCCTCCATAGGGAATGGGCTCCAAAAAGCCAGTTCATGCACTAGGAATAAATACTGGTTACCACTACCAGAGGCCCCATAGACTGCCTAAGCCCCACAACTGACTCCCATGTTCTGGGTCCTGGTTTGCTCTTATGCAGGTTCCCCAGCTGTCAGAATGGTGTCTATGAGCTCCCACTTGCTCATGTCAGCTGTTTCTGTGGGTTTCCCCAACATGGTCTTGATCCCTTTGCTCATCACTCCTCCCTCTCTACAACTAGATTCCTGGAGTTCGGCTCAGTACTTAGCTGTGAATCTGTTTCTGCTTCCATCTGTTACTGGATGAAGGCTCTATGATGGCATTTATGGTAGTTAGTCATCAATCTCATTATAGGGGAATCAGGAAGGTTGAGTTAGGGGAAGGATAGAGAAGGAGAGCAAGGAAAGAGATACCTGGATAGAGGGAGCTAGTAGGGGCTTAACGAGAAACCTGGCACTAGGGAAATTTCCAGGAATCCACAAGAATGACCCCAACTAAAAATCTAAGAAATAGAAGAGAGGCTACCTTAAATGCCCTTCCACTATAATGAGATTGATGACTACTTTAAATGCCATCACAGAGCCTTCATTAAACAAATCACTTTTAATCACAATCTTCCACTTCTTGTTCCCCAAACTTTCATGGCCATCTCATAATATAAAATATAATCAAACTTCAAAAGCTCCTATGGTATTTAGCAATTCTAACAGTGTCAAGAACCAAAGTCCATGTCTCATCTGAGACTAAAAGCAATCTCTAAAACTCAAGAGCTCTTAACAGACAAGTTGTATGATTCCAACATATAATGACAGAGAAACCATTCCCAC